AGCTTCCGAACGAGAGATAAGAAAATTATTTTGAAAATTTAAATTGGCGTACATTTTATGGACAAGTAATTGAAATTTATGTGAGTTTTTAATAAACTTTGGAATTGATTATAAATAGAACAAACTTAATAGTTGCTGCGCGACTTCTTCTAATCAGTGTTTACCAATTCTTCTTCTCTTATATTGCCATGTTGTTTCAGGACTAGTTCGATTATAAGGCTCAAAACATTCTATTCTAGCAGTTCTCTACTTTGCCTTGGAAGGATTTCCACTGTTTTACCCGATGAAGGTTACATTGTAGTCAATAATATCGCATGGATGCTTTCCTGAACATTCAATCTCCCAAAGTCAAGAATCAATCATTATCAATATATCCTCATAATCTTCAATTCTTCTACTCTTATATTCACATGGAACACTTCAATAAACCACCCTCTTGAATTTTGTCTTGGAGGAACATTAGGAAAAAAATACAATTATCACCGATCAGCCATCGTCTGACACAAATCCAATATGTAGATTGCACATTGTTTTTCTCTGTCATTTCTGCGTTCAATATATCCTGTGAGAATTACATTTTTCATGCTATCTTTCATAGTGCTATGCTGGTTTCCAAATCACAAAGAAATTAGAGAATACGGCCAAGCCGGTTCAACTGCAAAGTATGCATAAAGCGAAACCCCTGATAATCGTTTAAAGATTGCTTAAATGAACCTAAGAAATAAAATAAACACCTACATTCAACAGAAATAGCGAAAACGCTATACAAACAACACAACATAATAAACAGCCCACAGCCTAGGCGAATGATAAACAAATACCTATAGAAGGAGAAAAAGACGAAGTAACGCTAACTCGATTACACATAAGCCACACATACCTCACATGTACAACATACCAAGCCACACTCATATTGAAAAACATTTTAACCGAATGTGCTCACTTAGCCTCCCTTAGAAAAATACTACAAGGAGATTAACATGAAAAAAAATCTTTGAAAATAGTGAAACAACAACATAATATCCTGTCTTAAAGAAATATATTTATACCTAAACATCTAACACCTATAATAGATCATCTATAAATTATATACAGTGTAACCCGGATATAAGAGAGTTGTCGCGACCGGAGAAGAAGTCTCTTATATCCGGGTTTCTCTTATATACGGGTCTCTTTATCCGGGTTACACTGTATCTATTAAATATAGGTTTGCATTGAAAGTATAATATTATATAAAAATATCTGTAGTTGAAGCCATAAAATAGCGTACAAAATATCTCGATTTCGGCATTAAATATAATTCGGTGACATATAAACAAATAAAACGCCTCCGATTCCCTTATGTATCTTTCCTATCTCTTCAGCATCAACGACTGTTAAGGACGAGTGATGTGCAACGCCACCTGTGGCCGTCATGTGAATTCGTCTGGTAATCACGCGAAAGTTAAATTCTTATTTGTAAATCTCTATGGAATAAAATAGGTAACCGGCAGTCAAATACTGGAAGATCTGTCGTTCGACAGTATATTATCTTATACTTATATCTTCTCGAGAAGCGGGTCTTTATTAAAATCTAAACTACACAGAAACTTTATAACTGCTTTCTATAAGTATTGTGTTATATTTTGACGAAAATCCAACTTTTTGCCTCGTCCACAAACATTCATGTATCTAAAGAGTCATAATTATGCAAGGCTAAGCGTTTGATTATACAGACGGGTAAAATGTAATATTTGAAGATAAGCAAACTCAAGAAAAATTAATGACTTGTCTATATCAAATTATGCTGAAATGTCTTATCATCATAATCTCAGTAAAAGTACAACGTAAAAACATTCCGTCAGAAATTACAAAATACACCGAGTTGGGACGCCATAAGAGGTTTTGAATTGACTACGAACTTGGCGTTCATCAAAGGAACTCGCTGCGTTGGCTGGCTGCAAGCCATCTTTCCATACTGTATGCAATGTTTACTTTTCAAGCGGCAACAATTACATGAAAAATGTGACTATAATTAGAGGGTGACCTGTTGGCATTCATCCCAGCCACGTCTCAGCTTTTATGCCTTGCTAATAAGTTGACCATCGGAATTAAACTTGCGAACCATAAATAAAGGTATGCCTGCTTCTCATTTATTCATATCCAACGTCCAGTTGTTTCAATCAACATATTCTTACTGATTCAAACTGTGCACCTTGTTTTCTTTCTAAAACGTTCTTGACATTTCACTTATCTCAGAGTAAGCATTAGCTTTAATTATGGATTAAACAATTAATTCCCACTGTTCAATTATCAGGAATTAATATTAGGTTTTATTAAACTATAATAACGGAATTTTTATTTTCTTTTTAACAATTAATACTGTGGTTCTTATTTTTCATTTTTCTCTTTTTAGTAATGTTCACATGGAGTAAAAATTATATATATATATATATATATATATATATATTATAACAGCAAAATTGTCCAAATCGTGTAACAGCATGGGATAATTGCCCATCCCACAAACTATTTGATATCTAAAAACCGCTAAACTAACTGTTTCTTTTTTCCAGATATTCAGATAAGGCGTTTAGACCTCTTGGCGCCATTTCTTGTAAGATTCACTGAAAATCCATTTGAGTTGTTCAGCTAGAGAGAAAACAGGTTAAAATCGTTTTGTGTCAACCCCGCTATGTCTTCCTAACTGAGCAATCGTGAGAGGGAAAAAGATTATTCAGACTTTCAGTAATGGTACCAATATTCGTACTCTGGCTTCTATTTTCAATGTTCATTCAAGAACTATCAAAAGAAAGGTAAATAAGTTTTAAAAAAGGGGGAACAGTAGAAAGAAAAACTGGATCAGGAGGTCACAACAGGAAGAAGGATCATCATTTCAATTTAGAGCTCAATACATACTTATTGTTCAAAATAGAGTTCAATAGCGTTATAAAAACCTCGTTAGAAAGATATCTTTAATCATTTCTTACGTACAACAGTTCAAAGTTTAATGTAATAATTGGACAATTTTGTTGTTACCTGATTTAGACAATTTTCCTATTACACCTTGTCTGTGTGTATATATATATATATATATATATATATATATATATATATATATATAGAGAGAGAGAGAGAGAGAGAGAGAGAGAGAGAGAGTAAAATAGGAAAATTCTAAAAGTAAAAAGCCCACACGTATAATTTATTTTTGAACAAATGCCACAAACCACTATTCTTTATGACTTCAAGTACGACATGAAACCGAATTACATTGAATATGTCCAAGAGTAGCCCACTACTTATTAAGTGCTGCATATTTAATTTGTAAATTTCGTAAGTATTCTAGCGGACGCTATGATTATTATAATGGTGAAATTAAACGTTTCCATTCAGGAAACATTTGGCATTCATCGATAGAACAGTTACTTGTTATCATCTCTTGAAATTTTTACATAATTACTTCAGACAAGAATTGTTTTACTAATTTTCATCTTATACAAGGCACAAGATCTACTCAAGGTAGAGGGTTATTGGATGGCATTATCCTGGGAATCTGTTCCACGAAGCAACAGTACTTGTGGGAAGCTCTCCGAACGGAAATTACTCGTTTCTGATTAAATATATCTTCTCTTTCAAGAATTCAGGGTGATCATAGCTCTCCACAACTTCCTATTCTTTGCAGCTCTAAGCTATATTTATCCACTTACCTCCCCTCCACATCTGGTTCTGACAACAAGGTCGTTCTTGAGTCTACTCGAGATTTCTCTTGATCACTTAAAAATATATTCTGTTTTATATTCTCACATCATGCACCATGTTAAAGTATCCGTCTATTAGATATGAGTACAGGTTTATATGCTCTTATGCTCTTCTGAGTGGCCACTTACAACACTGTAATTCGTTTTATACGGCTTACCAACCCTTTGCAGGTTATTTAATACCAGAAAATACTTTTAGATTGTAGGGTTTTTTTTTTAATAATGGTTTAGTAATACAGTCGTACTAATTCTCATGGCTTGTTGAGAATATAAAATAATATAACTAGCACAACTGAAACTGGCTCTCCGAATAACACCACCCGCACATCCAAGTTTACAGCACTTGATATTTCCAAGCGGTCACCTATGCAATTTCTGAAGAAGAGGTGGATTCATACCTTGTCCAAAGATATTTACGCATAAGTGAATATAACAGACACAACTGGAATTGGAATCCAGCTCTTTGATTAACAATTTGAGTATTAATCAATTACACCTCACTCATATCCAACACTAGAAGCATGGCCCGGCGTTGCCCGTGCTTGATTCAAAAATAATACGACTAATACAGCAATCGCTATCACTTGACTTAAAATATTTTTGCCCTTCCTTGCCATTAAAGGAGTGCCCTTTGCCGTGCTGATGTTGTTAAATGCCTTACTTCTTGCCTATCTCACACTGCCAACTTTTTCTAAGCTCTGTAGTAAACATTAAATCTGTTACGAAAAAAGAACTAAACAAAATAAACCCAATACGATCAGCTTTAAAAAACCGGAAAAAACATTTTTAAGGGTTGACCGATTGTCGATTTGCACTCTGTTCGGGGGGGTGCTCAGAGTTGAAACTTCACATGATGACTCCCAATGGCCTCTTCATAAATCCGCTCGGTTTTCGCTAAAAAGCGACATGCGGTTCAGACGCAATCTGGGCGTATCGGTTTTTGTGTTTTATCGATTTTCCGCGCTGTTTAGGGGCCCGTGATCATGAAACTTCTGGACAACACTTCTAATGGTAGACTCTAAGAGGGTGTCAAATTTGGTTGAAATGCGATCATTCCTTCTGTAAGCAGAATTTTTTCGATTATCGATTTTAGTCGGAACCTGATTCCGAACTCAAAAATCGGGCCCGTCATGTCCTTACGGCAGCCATTTGCAAACATGTGTTGAAAACCGCATCGAAATCGGGTGAGAAATGCGGCCTGGGCGAGGTAACAACGCCCACGACAGATACACAGACAGACAACATGAGAAATATAGATAATAGATTACTGCACCTGATATTCCTAATTGGTTACACATCTAGGTACTGACCAGGCTCGTCGTTGCTTAACTTTGGTGATCGGGCGGGAACAGGTGTTTCAACGTGATGTGGCCGTATTTTTTGTGATTAAAATTCCATATCTGCCAATGTGAAACTGTTTGCAATTGTTAGCGATACGTTTACATTATAAGAGATCAATAGTGTATGAAATTGGAGCGTTCTTTTGTTCTCATATCCTCCATATGAGAAGTTTGTCAATACATCCAACAGTTTTGCTCATTTAAAAGCATGACCAAATTAACTTTTATATGGGTTGTGATGTTTTCATTCATCTTGGTGCCGTTTGTTTTCAGTAAATTTACTAATCATTGAAATTTTTATTTGATTAATGTTTGCTATCGATTTCGCTTTGGTATTACCAAAGATGAAATAGATAAACAGGAAATTGAATAGCATCTGAGATAGCAGTTTGTCTGTGGAGAGATCCGTGCGATAATGCGAGTGAGAAATGAGAAAAAGATATGTAGAACGGAGAAAATGTGAAATATTAGAAGTTCGTGAACTAATTTAGCACTCAATATAAGCAGTTGTGCGTCTTTTTCTTTACGGAGAGATAATAAGTTTTAAAATGATAACAAACTGTTTTAGCGGCAATTGAAAATGGAGATGATATGAAAAACAAATATTGAAAAGGAACAGAAGAATTGCGGAGCAACAAGCAAAGGAAAATGGATAACTTTTGGGCAAGTGGATATTAATTAGAAAGATAAAAGCGTTTGGAAGAAAATAAGTTAACCAAAATAATAAGGAAGATGATCTGGGAAATAAGCATTTCAAAGAAACATAGAATAGTTTAAGAAAAAAACAGTTGACCGCAAATAAAGATCGAGATGATTTGAGAAATAAATGCTGAATAAAAAAAATAGAAGAGTTATGGAAAAACTGGTATACGAAAATGAAGTTGGAGATGCTTTGGGAAATAAATATTCAAAGAAACATCGACGTGAGGAAATACAAGTGGATGAAAATGGTGATATTTTGAGAAATAAATGGAATAAATTGAACAGAAAAGTAGAAGAGCCGATGAAAACTGGCAAACGAGAAAAATAAAAGTTGGGGATGATTTGGGGAAATACATATTGATAAGATAGAAAGGACAATTTAGTTAAAAACAAGTAAAGGAATATGAAAGTAGACATGATTTGCGAAACATATTGAACGTAAAACGTAGAAGAGTTGATGAAAAACTGGTAAAAAAAAAGGAAGATAGCAATAATTTCAGAAATAAATACTGAAAATAAAATATGATTGTTGGGTAAAAAAAATACAATAAAATAAACGAAAATGAAAATGGAAGTGATTTAAGAAACGCTGAAAAGAAAAACAGAATCGTTGAGAAAAAAAACAAAATCAAGAAAGAATGGGATGCTGAGATGCCAACGAAAATGTAGAACAAAAGACACGTGACCTATGATAATGCATGGAAAGATAAATTTAAAATTAAAGACAGAACAATCGATTTGAAAACGAAATGATATTATTTTCATTCGAACAGAAAATCTGCTATGTAGGACTGCCCAAATACTGGCCGTTGGATTGGTGATCGGGCGCATGCGCAGTTCAGGCTATTGATTGATTTCTTAATCAACTGACATTTGACATTGAAAATTTGTGTAGCTATTCATTAAAAAGGGAAATTAGAATATAAGAAAGAAACTATAAAGAATCGGGAAAGGAAGAGGCTACAAAATTGAAGATATAATAACGATGGAAAGGCAAAGAGAAAAAAAGTCTATGATAAGAATGAGAAAGCCAATCACGCAGTATAAAGACTAGAGAAGAGAAAGGCGGGGAGCAGTGAAAAATTGGTAAGGAGTTCAATCAAGCAAACAGATCGAAAATGAAAAAGAAGAGCAAGGCATTTAAACCATGAAGGAGAGAGAAAGAGAGAGAGAGAGAGAGAGAGAGAGAGAATGAAAACCGTGAGTGTAGCAGAAACACAACTCAGAGAAAGAAAAGGGAAAGAGGCGGGAAAATATTTAATGAATTCAGAAAAGAGTTGGCAAGAAGCAGATTTAATGATTCAATCAGATAAAATATAGAAATGTGTGCGACTTAACATTGCTGATTAACTAATCCAATAGCCTCTTATGCGTGCATGTATACTTACGAAAAAAGTGGCCAGAAACTAGTTGTTAATTTACGAAAGGAAAAACACATATTCACACAGATTAATCTAAGTCATAACATATAAATAATTCTTCTTCTATACGGACGATCATAGTTCTCCACAACATCTTATATCTCGCGTCCCCTATCAGGATGTCTCTCTTTGCCAAACCTCCTGCTCACTATTCCGCCATTCATTCACACAATGACACTTATAATAGTAATATGAGCTGTTTTCTTATAAGGAAACATTCGACATTCATTGACCGAGCAGTCATTAATGCTGCAGGTTAAAATTTATGAAATTTTTCTCTTAAAGTATGTAAAATACTTTCATTTCTAATTCTCACACACCCAGTAATCCATTGTGTCTTAGCGGTTTTAATGTCTTGCCTGGAGTGAACTCGATAAAAAAAAATCTTGATCCGTATAAATCTTTGAAATCTACGATTCCACTACATTTTATATCCTCCCTGCCTCTTAAATGTTTCGGCCGAAGGAAGAGGGTTAGATTTCAGCTGCCACCCTCACCGAAGAGACATAATACTTTATGAGATGGGCTATTCCATCCATCTCTGGCACCCGCGCACTCCCAATGATGTCGGGTATCCCTAAGTCATCTTGCGACATAGAAATATTCCTGATAATAGTCCAGAGTGTGTAAATCACTCTCTCAAGGAGTTTGTAACACATTATTTATCATCTTTCAGTTGCGTCTCTGTCTTTAGACAGAGTGCGCTCAGGGGCGACTCCATCAAAGGCCAGAGTTGCCACTGAGGAAAATTATACTGAGAGGTGCCCAGCCCTGGGGAACAGCTGCCCGAGGCCGCGCTCTCTATTTGCACCACAGAGAGAGATCGGTGCTCGCATCGAGGCCAGCGCAACCGACGGTTGTGGACGCTGCGGGCAATTTTTGTTCCTGGCCTGGTTGTACACGCTCGGGTCCCAAGCTTAAAAAAAAAGTCCTTGTGTCACAACTTGTCTTAGTGGGGAGACAGTGTAAATAGCTAGCCCAGAGTTAGCCAACTACAAGAAGGGACAACTTGAACAGATGCTTGGTACATTCATCTGATTTGCGCTGCCATGTTTTTGGTATCTCGGTATTTTAATATTCTTTGCCTTCATGATATGCAATGTCTATCAGTATGCTAAAATGACTGCTAAGTGCACAAGTGGGATATCAGGGCGTTTGCTTTCCAAGCGTTTCTCAATCAAAATGCTCAGATGAATTCGCGACTACTGACGGTGGTAAATGCCTGTACCGCTTCTCTGCGCTCTCGAGTCTATACATGTATTCTGAGAGTTAATGTTTCATGGCGTTGTCTTTACAATTTTTATGCTAGCTGGTCAGTGACAGTGTGTTGAACAACTACTACATTATTATTGAGCGAGATGGCAGCTGACCACCAAATTGTAACACTGCGGTATAAATATCCGAATCGCAGTATTCTCTTATAATCATCACATCAATTTTAATAAAAGCATACTAGGCACATGTAGCACAGCCAAATATGCACGATAAAAGCAGCAGATAACTCTGCAGGTGTAGTTCAGTGTTTCTCAACCTTTTTAAGCAAAGGCACACCGAGAAGCAAATGAAAACAGGACAGTTGTGGTATTTACCCGACTTCCACAGGGTCAGGATGTGACACAAGGTCGGTTTAACGTGGGAGACCCGGGTGTTTCCACTCAAAGGGCCAAAAGGTCCAAAACTGGTCTTAGCATGTCCAAGCTGGTCAGAGCCTAGTCAACGCTGGTCATGGCTTGTCTTAGGTAGTCCAGGCCGAAGCCAGTCCAAACTAGTCGTAGCTGTGATCGAATCTCAGCTAAAGGCCTAGAAACGATCCTTATTTGTCAAAACTTGGCGAAATCCGTCAAAGCGGAAGTCGCCGTGTTAAAATAGGACAGTCGTCTCTCAGCCTCCTATTGGCACACTCATTTTATAGACCATGACGAGGCAGCCGATTGGTTGAGTGGGAGAGTTTTACATATGCATAGGCGCACTCCGTCAACTTCTCCCTCCCTTCAACTGCTCTGCGACACAATACGCGTGGGCGTTTGCGGGCATGATGTCGCGTATCTTGCTCACACGACAATCACTAAAATATCACGACACACATAGCAAGAAGTGGGGCACGTCCGCATGGTATATGATTAGCCAGCTTGTCTCGCTAGATCACTTAAAACTGAAAAGTGAGTTCCATCCTCACTAGGTGCTCCATACTTTCGACCTTGTGCCACATCTAAGCTACGCTTAGAAAATACCCATAGCAAAAAGGGTATACATTTAAATGTTATGAAATAAAACCATAGATTAAGTAAATATACACAAAAATATGGACTTACTTTCTTTCAATGTTTATCTTCAACGATTTTTGCAGCACATTTAGTGTGAAACCTGTGCCTGGTGTTTTTTCATGATTTCTTTTGTTGATGTGAGATATGCGGACCCTCATTTCTTTTTCAGTTGTGTATAGTTTTCTCGCTTTTTATTTTGATGTTATTTAGGGTTGAGAAGCCTAATTGACATAAATAAAAAAAACTAGAAAATTACAGTAAACCTGATAAAGCCTTTTTAGCTAATGTGGGATCTTCCTTTTGTTTAGAAATCCAAAATGTATTAATGTGTACCGTCGAATGTTTTATTTTGATCCCTCGATCTTTAGAAATGGTGACCAATTCTTCTTCACATAACTGAAGGCCAATATTAGAAGGAACATTTATGAAAGGATTTCGAATCCAATCATACTTATCTGTACGCAATGACAGAAAATAATAGTCGATGTTTTCGTTGAGCACTTTCAAATGGATAACATTAATAGCGATCATTTCTTTAATGCAGGTCGTGTGCATTGAAGAAAACATCAAAATGCCGTGAAAATATTTCGCGGTACACTTACTCCGTTTGATGGTGTTCACAATATTTAGATGGGTCCCAAGTCTTCCG